GNTNTCGAATGCTATTCTTTACATATCATTTTCCACTAATCATCACAATTTTTTTATTTGGAACGTGTGATAATAAACTTGGTAATGTTTATTATTTTTTTTTTTTTTTACCAATCTATTGTTTTTTTATACTCGGTTTCAAAAGGTAAAATAATTTTCAAATTCTCAGTCTCAATAATTGTGCATTTAAAAAAATATATTTAATGATAATATATTATTTGTTAATAGTACACAATTTTGAAAATTCCATTGTAAATTGTATGTTGATATCCAAATCATTTTATAAATGCAATCGACTTTGTTAAATATCCACGAAAATATGGTAAACAAAATTAGACGATCAACTTTGTATGGAAATAAAATAAAATCAATAAATCAACGTGAAGTTCAGAGGAAATTAACATAATGAATAATTTGTATAGTACACGGATCTAAAAATTAATACTCACGTGGATTCTAAAATTCAAACTTATACTTATCATCACCTTTTGGAAATTGAATAATATATTGTAGGCAATATTTTTTTAAATAATTTTAACATGTTTTATTTATAAAATAGTTTAGAAAAATTTTAGGTGACTTCACATCTTTCAATAAGGATATATAAAATTTTAGATACTTTACATACGTTATATAATATTTTAGGTGTTTTTAATATTTTAAACATACATTTTTTATGTTATTTTATACAAGATAATTTTATATTATTTACATCTGATATACGATAAATTATGTCAGATATGAGCTCTACATCTTAATTACAATTATTAATTAATATTATTTATCCTCATATTTAATTTATAATTATGAGTTAATATTATTTATTATCATCTTTAATTTATAATTAATATTTAATATTATTTACCCTGCATCGTGCGGGCTACACACTGGTTATCATAAATGAAAAAATACAGTATCAAACATTGTATTAGTCAGTACAGCAGTGAATAACTTTTAGAAATAATACACATTTATCTAAATTAAAAGTTATGTCAAAATACGTATTGTACTAAATATCAGCCCTACACGAGTCAATTTTAGAAACTGTCTGTCACATTTGTCCATATTCTAGGCAAATTTAGAATATTTAAAATCAAACATTCAATCAGTATAAAGGTGGAGATATCACTTGAATTACAAACTTCATTGTATTGGTACTCCAAAGTAGTAAAACTGACAAACAATCATATTTTTTTAAAATATACATAACTTTAAACTAAAATTTCATAATTTAAAAACATTATAAATAAAATTATGAAATATTCAATTTTTGTTCATAAACAAAAAACAAAGTAAGCACCTAGTATAAAATAAATTAAACTAATATAAAAACACATTCATATATCATACTTTTACTTTACTCTCACATAATATAACATAAAATAAATTAATATGAAAACAATCATACCAGTAAATAAAATAAAATATAATAAAAAAATTGATATATCAGAACAGTACTTTACTCTGCAGTTCTTATTTTTTCTTAAAATAAAATAAATTAATACATAAACACATTCATAGATCATAGTACTTTACTCTGCACTATTCTTCCTATTTTTTCCGTGCCTTTAATTATGTAAGATTTTGAATTTATTTTTTATTTATTTATTCCCCTTATTATATACACAAGGCTTGGCCACACCACACACACAGCTCTTATTCTTTATTCTCAAAGTCTGCAATTGCAATCATCACATTTTTTTGTTAACACAATTTTCTACCTTCTGATAATTTCCCCATACACCATCAAATAGCTACTCACTGATAGCTAGAAAAGGAGACAAAATAAAAAAATAAAAAATAAAATTTGTGTTCTGTGTACTTCTTTACATGCTCTTCTAATAATTGCATGGTAGTTTTATTTTTATTTTTATTTTTATTTTTTTCTTTTTGAGTGAATATTTTGAAAGGGATGTACATATCTGGACTGTTGTAATCATTATTCACGAGTGAAATAAATTTTTCTCTAGCACCTATATTTAGTTGAAATATCATGATTATTAACTCGAGCCAAATAAAATATATAATAAATATCCAGGATTACTAACA